GTTTGGTGTGTGCAAATGACTGCCAGCTATGAAAAGCAACATCAGGTGTGTAAGCCTTGTATTTTGTCTTAAAGATCAAGAGATTTGTTATCTTTTTGCTTCATTTTAGAAAAATGAACCAACTACTGTAAAAGTTTAAATTGTGCTGCTTGGGTATCAATCTCAAATATGCAATTTAGTTAACTATTTTCTATAAATATATCTGAAGCAGGGCCCCTGCTTATCTTTGTTTAATCCATTGCTCTGTGTTTTTCTATATCTGAAATTGCTCTTGGTGAATCTCAGTGATGCGACAACATCTTCAAAGTAGGAGTTTCTGATGAAGTTAAGCACTTGCTGGCTTCCAGTTCCTCCTCCTGGCCTGCTCCCTAAAGTAGCTAGTACTGAGGGTAATGCATCACCCCAGGCCTTTCCCTTACTCCTCACCACTTTGCACAGTCCTGCTGTAATAGTTCTGTTCGTGTGCTCTGCTTGACCTGATGACTGAGGGTGATGCAGACAGTGCAGCTTTTGCTCAGTCCCTCATAGTTGTACTCACTGCCCCACCAAATTATGAGGTTTATTTGGGTCAGTAAGACTTTAGGAGTCCCATGGAGGCCAAAGGCTTCTTGAAATCTACTTTTCCCCCTATCATTGGTCTGCTGCATGTGTTTTTTTTAGGAAAGGCTTGTGCTCACTCTTCAGAGTCAGTCACTCCCTGGCGGTGTTTGTTACCACAGCCTGTTTTGGGGATCTGAGGTCTATAATCTTTCTGCAAGGGCTTCTGGCAGCGCCCGGCTGCAGCTCCAGCCTCGCTGGCTCGAAGCTGTGCTCCCACCCCTCATAGTCTGGCATTCCCATGTACTGCATGCAATTAGAGCAGAGGAGGGAATGGGTCCTCCAAGCACGGCTGTCTGGCTTTTTCTAACTCCTCGTACAGTGTAATTTGTGAAGTTTAGTGTTGAAATCCAGGGAGATGCTGCTTAGGACAAAAAATTTGGCTAGCAAAATACCTGGTGAGGATAACTTAGCCCACAAGTAGTAGTGGGGGTTAAGGAACCTGAAATTTGCTCAAGAGGCCAAGGCAAACTCACTCATTTTTTAAATTTTTCCTGTGTTTTTGTTTGTCGCAAGTAAGAGGTGTGTGCTGTATATGTCAGAAAGGATCCTGTCAGAGTATTTCTACCTGAAGATTTTAAATTTAATATTTATGCCTTGTGACCATTCAAGCAAAGAACAGAGAGATTTTCTGAGGACAAATACAACATAGCAGCATATATAATTGTGTTTTTCCTTAGAGTTTTTTCTTCTATTATATATGATGTCCAGTTTAGTCCTGAAATCAGTGAGCTGCTCTGCATGCCTGCGATGGTGGAACTGAGTATGATATTAGTGTGATAGGCAAATGTTCCAGCTCTGGTCATGCTTTATGAGACAAATTGGAGTACTTTGCTCTTCAAGTGGAGTTTTGCTCAGTGTTATTTTCTGACAGGACTGGCGAAAAGGCTTTAGGAGTAAAACTGAGGAAGAACATACTGGTGGGTATGGATGTGCTGAGCTGTGAGCGAGCAGCTTTTGGTGCTTCCAGCTGACTAACCTGTTGGAGAAAAGGCGGTCAGCATGGCAAGGCTGTGGAGCTTGGCATCAATGTCGCTCTGATTTAAGCAGTGGGGAGGATCAAGGCTGGATGGTGGGCCCAAGCCATGTTACCAGCACAAGGCAGAATGGTGGGCCCAAGCCCTGTTACCAGCAGACTTGAAAAAAAAGAAACAAAACTGTGTTAGGAACCGAAGTTTGGTATCAAGAAAGAAAGAATTTTAGACAAGTTTTTAATTGTACTGACCCCTGCTCATGACAGAGTTAAACTCTAGGGTAGTTGGAGCTTTTCATTTTTCCGTAGCTGATAGAAGTGGAAGAAAGAGGACAAGCTTTCCAGCTCACAGTATCTGCACCTGCTCTGGCAAAATCTCTTTTACTAAACTGTAACTCCATTATTGTACTTCAGGGTTTTGATATAGTCTTAAAAAATGTCATAGAAGCAATTCTTAAAGATACTCTTCCTTACTTCTTTTGTCACATCGTTACACCCACACACAGTGCTTGAAGGTAAAAGAGTATTTTTGTTGATGCTGTGATTTGACAAAAGGAGTAAGAAAGATGATCTAAAACTGTTTCTGTGGAAGAAAAAAAATAAAAATACTCATAGTCCCTGGGGTAACTTGTAACCAAGCAAACCAAGATGGCACAGGGGCTCCAGCTGACTTGGTACCCGACCTGTTGGCATTGCTGACCTGTATTGCCAAGCCAAATGTTGCAGGAGCCGCCTGACATTCCTTCATTTTGCTGAGAACTGCAAAACAGAAAGAATAATAAACAGCATTTTTAGGATCTTTCAGTTGATGTTTTTCTAATAAAGATGGGTGCTACTAGATATATGAAAAAGGAAATGAGTTTGGTTGTAGCATATATGATTTCCTTCCTTTTAAAATGCTGAGGCAAAAGCTTTAACACATGTCTCAAAGCATCATTTTGAAGGTAACGAAACTCAAACAGATTTTGAAGTAATTTTTCTTTTTTATTGCATAATATGCTGTGATGTGTCGGGGGGAGGGCTGGCTTTTCTTCTCTTTTGATGAGTTGATTTTCTTGATAGTTACTGAAAGAAGTCAGTTTAAGGAAATCTACTAAAGCTTTAGACACCTAGGGGGAAAACATCTGAATCTCCCCTTCTCTTTAAGTTCAGACAGCACTTCAGGTGAGAAGCGCAAGAAAGGAGTTCTGGAGAATAAGTGGATGTATCTTGTGTGAATTCTTAAAGCCGCCTGCTTTTTCTGTAAAAATAAGCCACTCTTATTCTGCTTTTATAAGCCTCAAAGCTCAAGGCAACTTTTTTTAGTCAAAATCAGAACTATTGCAGCAAGGTTCTCACCTGCAGTGGAGCATCCACCAGCCTTTAAAGCCATGGTTTTGATCCCAAGAGCCACAAACCTGTGCACTTTGTGAGCGAAATGAAGTATTCCCCTACGTGCAGCTGTGAGCTTGCATTCTGGTGAAGGGAGCATGTGGGAATTGCAGTTTGCTTTTGATAATTTTATGGAATGGGATGTTGTCAAAGACAGATTCATATCACTTAACAATTTTAAGCATTTACGGACAGTTTTTTTTATTCTTATTTGGCTAGTATGAAGAGGAGTGAGTGTAGGGAAATGGATATAATTATTTGATGTAAAGTTGAGGTAAGGGAAGAATCTGGGCCTTGATGTTTAGAGTTTTATGGACTGTCATCTTGCTCAGGTCATCAGAGAACAGTTAAGAGCCAGGGTGTTAAATTCAGGCTCGTAGCACCTCAGTGGTGATGGTGCAAATGTTTGATAGGAGACCAAAGAGTAGCAACTCCCAAAGCTGTTCTCCTCAGGGAGCTCTTCTCTAGTCAAACTATGTTTTTATGGGTCCCGTCCCATCCCCCATTCTTTGAGTTTAACCAATTTCTCCTCTTTTCTTAGAGAAAGAGCATGAAATTTACATTTGAGTTAAATTAATGTAATGATATTAATATAAAGAACATTAATAAAATGTTCTAAAACAGTAGTTAAATTTAATGAGGCCTGCAAGGGGTCGCCTAAGCCCTTGGGGCTGTTCTGGGCCTTTGCAATCCCGGCTGTGCAGCGCATACGGTGCGGACTGCAGCATGGGCAGAGAAATAACATTGCAGTCTGTCATCATCCGGGGGAAGGAAAAGATTTTATTCTGATTTTAATATACTTGTTCAGATTTCCTTCAAAACAAAGTTTGCTATTAGATGAGATAATAGATATTTTAATACATACTCTTTGTGCCAGTTCACTGATGTCTGTGTACTTGATGACAGTAGATACAGAAAAGGCAGAGTAGAGTCAATCAAGAGCAACAAATAGTTAAAGAAACTGTCCAGATTTCCCTGCTGTCACTTGAGCGAAACCCCAGCTTCTGTTTTTTGCCAGCACAGTCTCTCTGCCCCCTGGGAGTCCCTTTAACTCCACAGCAGGGAATGGATCTTGTCCTGGGGAGTGAGTAGCCCCTGAAGGACAGGCAGGATATGCTCACGAGTGAAAGGGACAGCGTCTTTTAAAAAATAAGCATCTCATACAGTCATCATGGTTGGAAAATACCTCTAAGATCTCCAATGCAAAGGGGCCCGAATCTTCAAAATTGCTCGAATTTACTTGTTCAGTTATATATTTTTTCTGGTAGATTTCTGGCTTTGGATTTTACTGTGCAGTGGATATGATGCCAGGCTGAAGGAAGAACTTGGGTTTGTTTTTTTACTGACTTGGTGGTCTTTGATTTAAAAAAAAAAAAAAAAGTTATTTCAGATGGGATTCTACAATTAGCATCTGTGGGGAAAAAATGCACACTAACTGATTTTATCTGTGTCATTTTCATATTCCAAATCCCCAAATAACCTGAGTCTTAAAAATGTGCATTTTGTTTGATCCATAAGTCTCAATTGGTAATTCAGATTTAATTTATTTTAACATGGCTTGTTTTTGGAATTGCTAAATTGCTCTGAAAGACTTCAGCTTATGCCAGTTCTGTATGCAGTTGATCCCCTCTGCTCTACATGTTTGCCCATTACCGTGCAGTTTGCACTATACACCTCTGCTATTGTAGAAGGGTTTATCTCTTCAGAATGCTACGAAATTTCCTACAAATAGATGGTTGTTTCAGCTGTGCTGTTATTTGGTTGAGTGCAATTTTGGTATTTCAATATGCGATTTGATTCAGATATTTCATAATTGGCAACAATGCACTTCAGAAGTGCAGCCCCTTACCATAGGACTGTGATCTCTAAAGGTAACAACACTTTGTGTTTCTACAAAATGTAATGAAATTCAACTGCAATACTTTGCTATCAGTAGTATCAGAAGATGTTAACATACATAGATTTTTATTAGTCCATTTCTGTCCTTTTATTAGGTTGTGATTTAATAGCTTCTTTTTAAAGGACTAAACACATCTTAAACTTTTTTTTTTCTTTGTAGAGCCAGTATCGTGCAGAAGCGCATAATTTATTTTCAAGATGAAGGTTCCCTCACCAAAAAAATTTGTGAACAAGGTAAGATGAAATAAAGCAACCTTTGGCCCTCGGCCACCTTCAAATTTGTGATCTCCTGCTCAGTTGACATTAACATGTACATGTCCTTAGCATGTACACTGTTCATATGATTCTTTTTTGCCTTGCTTTCCCCTAAATGGGACCCTTTTGCCTTCTTCCATGATATGTGTGAAAACCTTTTGCTTCCAGCCATTATTGCCTAAATCTATGCATAACAGAGGTTTTAAAAGTCACATGAGGGATTAGTGACGGGTGGAATTGTCTTCTATTGAGAGTCTGTAGGTTTCTGCATATGTAAACTCCTCTTCCCCTGGAAGCCTGTTTCAGTGAAGGAAGTTAAGATAATCTCATTTGCTTGTTTTTCCTAGTGTCCTTTGCAGTAGTGTTTATGCTGGCTTCTTAAAACCAGTGTTGTCATGGCAATATATCGATATTTGTGAGGGAATTCTCTGAAGCACCTTAGGACTATAAATTGCCTTTGAAAACTATGGGGAATGTTGTCGCAAAATTCTCCAAGGACTTTATGAAATCCTTCATCAATTCGTAATACATAGCATATCAGAAATGAATGTCATATGAAAAGTGGCCCTTACTCCTTTTCTTAGTCCCTAAGTAAATATGTGTATGCTACAGTTGTAAATGCTGTGGTTGGGGGTCTCCCTTGAGCAGATGCTCCACTCTCACAGGAGGAGGAATCTGTTGTTAAACTCTGTGTAGTAACTACAGCCCGTTCCCTTGATACCAGTATGTGTGTGTCGACTTTTGATTTAACTTTCACATCACAAAATATAATTCTTTCCAGAAGACACTTCTTAAATTTCTTTGAAAAGTAATAACTTTGGGCAGAAGGGCAGAGATCATTTTTAAGGAATAATTCCTATTTCTTCTCCCTGAACGTTTAGAATAGCAAGAAAACTACTTCCTTTTTGAGGTGCTTACCAGGCTATCCTTCATTTTTAATAAGCTGAATTTGTGCCAGTAAAGCATTTAATTGTACATAATAAATGTGAAGTATATGACAGTAGCTGAGAAACTCATATGTCATAATTTTTTGCTTTTTGAAACATGGAAAATGTATACTAGACTTTCTGAAGAATAATCTTGCCCATTCAGTTTATTCTAATGTAGCCCCAAATCATAGATAACCAAAACAAAATGTGCTTAAGTCGAATCCAATGTGTCTGAACTTTTATTGCTGCCTTTTCAGACTCGGCCTCAGAAGGTGTGACCGACAAACCAATTCTAGATTGTTGTGCCTGTGGAACTGCCAAATACAGGCTAACTTTTTATGGAAATTGGTCAGAAAAAACACATCCAAAAGATTTTCCACGTGAGTATTGTACTTTTAGGACCTGTCTGGGGGTTGGAGCTGGTCCTGTGATACAAAATATTACTTGTTTACACCTCAGAGACATAAATTGTGACATATATGCAGTACTACTAATACTAAATTCCTGCAAGTGGTGTTTGTGCTCAGACTGGGCATCAGGTTTGAAGACAACTGCCTATGGATGAGATGATATCCGAAGATGCGAGGCTCTCTGGTTCCTAGGGGTAGGCTTTTGCTCTGTGGTACCTTCCCTTTCGGCGAGAGCTGTTACTGCCTTTGGTGCAGGCTGTGCCCGGGCGCTTGTGAGATGGACAGAGCTGAGGGCTAGAGAGAAGCAAGGGGCAGCCCAGGCAGAGCTCGCTGGAGCTGAGCGGCAGGGCCCCACTTCGGCTTGGCGAGCTGCCTCTGCCTTTTTAAGGTGCCATTATTAGATCTTCGATTATGGAAGAGTCTTCTCACACTGCAGCCTCTCCAGCTAGTACATTATTGTAGGGTGGTTTTGGTGGTTTACACTTTTTTTCTTCCTCTCTTTGGGGCTTAAGTGCTGAGCAGTTGGTATGGGGTCTGAAGATTTCAGGTCAGCTCTTGCTCAGAGCGCAGCAGGTTTGTTTTGGTGCAAGTCAGGCGCTGGGGAAGCTGTGCAGGCTCTGTTCATTATGTTGCTAGGCCATATCTTTTTATCTGTTTATCAGAAGATTGCTGCATTTTTCTAGGCTTTTTCCATACCACTGCTGTTTGTTTTTATTTCTAATCTATTTTCTGTGCTCCTGGGATTATGTCGGAAACATCCGAGTTTGTTCTATTCTCTACACTGTCTTTTTCAATTTCGTTGCCTCACCTTTCACATCTTAAATTTACATTGCTTTTGTTTACTTCATTGTTCATTTTTCATTCGCTTACTGTACTTTCCAGCTCTGTTATTCTTTTTCTTCTGCGTGACAAAGAAAAATGTTAAACATTGTCTCATTCCATCAGCCTCCCTTATCCCCCGCAGTCTGTCTTTGCACGATGTCTGCTTCTGTGAGCAGTTCATTCACTCATCCCCTTCCTTTACACCCATATGTTTCCAGAGTGCTGTTTATTTAACACTTAACTGCAAGCATAGATTCATTTTTATGAAATCCAGTACTGGTCTCTTTTTCCATCCCATTGGACTGCTGTAACACATTTTCTTTAAACCTATTCAGTGAGATAACCATCCAGACTAGAAGTGCTTTTCCCTGGCTCTGGAACACTATGAGAAATCCAGACAAGAAACCCTTACTGAAGAAATTCTGAAGAAATGCAGAGACATCAGAATTTGTGTCTTTGCTGCATTCCTAAATTACAGGCAAACCTTACTAAAAATTAAGAGGAAAAAAAAAAAGAACATAGATGCAGTTTGGTTGGTGTGTATAAAATTTGAATATGTAGAAGCAGAGAGAATACCAGTTGTTTTCTGGCTTTAAGCCCTTTGTATCTCCTTGCTGTCATCATGCAAATGCAAACCTTAGTGTGCTGCTGCTTGAAAACAGTGTGTGTGGGTGGGGGGAGCTGCATATTCAGTTGAAATACAATCTTTCTCACCATTTCTGTGTTTTGTTCTTACATCTACTATTTACTATGTAGTTAAATGGTTTAGTTTTATTACTCAAAAATATGGCAACTGTTTTAGTGAGACCTGATGGCAGGCAACACATGAAAATTCTCAATCCTCATTAAGACTGGGCACCTCAAAACTTCCACCTTAAGAAGTCTAAGAATTTTGCTTTGAGGCAGTTTTGGTGGTCACGAGAGTTGATGTTACAAAAGCTGGGATGGCCATCAACTCTAACCTTTTTTTTTCTATTTTTCCTTCTTGAAAGGACGAACCAATCATTGGTCAGCAATCATCGGTGGTTCCCACTCCAAGAACTACATCCTTTGGGAATATGGAGGATATGCTAGTGAGGGTGTCAAACAAGTTGCAGAGCTGGGGTCCCCGGTAAAGATGGAAGAAGAAATTCGACAGCAAGTAGGTGCAAATTCTCAAAAATGAGCAGTACATACCATAAAAAATGCATCCCATATATCATATATATCTGCATCTATATATGCATCCTATAAGATCTAGATCCTATCCTGCCTTCTAGGATAGCGACTGATTTGTCGTTGGAAATGCCCAAGCACCCAACTATGGTGTCTGATTTTCAGTCGGGCAGGTACGGAAAGCTGCTGTGTTCGTTGTGACTCTAGCAAACCTTTAGTCTGTAAAAGGACAAGTAGTATTTTGGACTTTGAAGATCTTTGTGTCAGGCAAAGCAGAAATCAGATATAACAGAAAAATTCATCTTTCCTGTCTCAATCATGAAGACACTTAAAATTTGTTACAGGAGCATCCTGAAGATGGTAAGCAATGTTTCTTATTCCTTCTCAGTGTGGCGACACCTAGTTTGAATGGTGTTTTTAGTATTTACAGCTCTTTCTTGTGAGCACCTTATTTGTGATTTGCCGCAGATTGATCCAAGTTAGAAATGCTGTTACAGGAAATTGAGATGATCACTGTTGTTAAGTAGGAAAAATGCACACAGTTGCACTAATAAAACTTGATGAGTCGGGTTTATGGCTAAGGGTAGAAGAGCATTTACTGCACATCATCTTAGAAAAAATTGATTCAGATATCTGACTTTCAAGTAGTTTGTCTAGGTTGTAACTTACAGTCAAGTAAGAAAAGTTAGACAGATCTGGTTAACTGGAATCTCTGTCTGCTTCCTCTTTCCTGTTTTGCCCCCAAACTGATTAAATAAGCGAAAAAAATAAAAGAGCTGATCCAATGCACAGTTGTTACTGGCACCTCCATCCCTCGCCCCTCTGGCAGCCAGAGGGGCTCGTGGAAAGGCCAGCCCCCTTCCTCCTCCTCCTCCTCCTCCCCGGCTATACACGGCCGTCTATCTTGCAGAGCGGAGCTACCACTTCCTCTGGAAAAAGATCAGCATTTTCATTGAGTTAATGACCCCACAGAGAACTCAAAAGGTGGTATGTAAATAGATTAAGTGCTAGAGATCCAAACATTTTCCACTGAACTTGCATTTAATGAGCACTTCCTGCAGAAAATTTTAGCTTGTCGAGTGTCTGAACACACTGAAGTGAGAAGTTCAGGGCCCAAATGCAATTGCATCTCTATGGAAAGGGCACTGCAGTACTGTGACCTTTAAGGCAGGCATGAGGATATTTTGCTGTGTGGACCAGGTGCAGTGCAGGTAACATCCAAGAAACACAATTTGTCTTCTTGGGGTGCTGCAGGGAATTTGAGTGAGGTTAGTTATTTCTGAGTAAGCTAGCTGTGGCTGAAGCTCTTTTTGGCTACTACTTTCAGGAAAAAGCCAGTTCTCCCATTTGGAAGATGAACTAAGGAAAACATTTAGGCCTGTAGAATGAACACCTGTTGCTTTTTATTGTGCAAATACATAAATTGCTGTCTTTGCTTTTAGCCGTTATTTATAAATCACAAGCTTTTTTTATCACAAGCTTTTTTTTTTTTAATGATTTTTTCAGGTTTTTCAGGTGAGGGGGGAGACATGACAGATCCACTATCATCCTTTTCCTCCTTCAATAAAACTTGGCATATGTGGACGTAGGAAGTAGGTCCTGATTCTGACTTGCTCTGGAAGCAGCAAGGGCCTGGGGAAGGTGTGGAATGAAATTAAAGTGGAGGGAGAACTGTGGAAGATTAATCTGAGCATGGATGACTTTAAGGAGAATGTGGAAAAAGAAGGCAAACCCTGTTTCTCTACTTTCCAAACAGCGTGCCCTCTGCCTTGGAGCAAGTGGCACAGGCTTGCAAAAAGGGGCTGTATTTATAGAGTGTGAAGGGGAATGTGGAGCAGGGGTGCATAAACCAGCTGGCTGGCAACTGTCTCAGGAGCTGCTGAGATGCCAGGTGAAATTAGTGAATGTAGCAGGTGATTTCAGTATCAGGTCTATTTGGCTACAGCAGACCTGCGTTAATTCTCCCAACAGTCTTATCCAGGCAGTGAGTTGGTGTTATAATTGGATACAGGCAAGCTCAGTGCAGTGTACCAGTATATACCGTAGCATTTTTACTAAGTTTATTTGATCTTTTCCATGTTTTAAAAATACGCTTAAGCTGGACTTGTGCTTTGGTTGCTCTGGAGGTAGAATATGAGCCAAGAGTGTAAACGTAACACTAAATGTTACACCATGGGCAGATAAGATGGTGGGAAGATACTGTCTTATTGTCGTTTAATTTAAATGTCTCGGGGCCTAAGAGAACAGATTTGTTTTGGCCTTGTTATTTTAAGTCATTTTATCACGAACATTTTTGAAAACCAGGATGAATAATACTGTATTTGGTACCTTTTCACTGTCTCCAGGAAATATGACTTGTGTTCTCAGCTTTGTTGCTAAATGACATTGGTTACAGGTTAACCTTCCTGCCAAAGAAAATACATAGTTGTTATAACTGATTTGTTTTTATAAAGTAGTTCTGATTTTGATTTCTTTTTTTAATGTAGCTACTTTATAAAAGTTGAAAAGAGAGGGTCAAAATGAAAGTACTTTTGTTGTTGGAGTGACTCTTTTCTGAGAAATGGCAGGGCAGCCCTTAATGAACTGGTAAGTGCCTGACGCAGAACACCTGCCCCACACCTGAAGCGTGAGAGGTCCATGGGGCATTTCATTCCCTCTTGCTATAGCTCATGGGTGAGATGGTGTCAGGTTTTCCCCAAAAAGGCTCAAAATTTTGCTTTTTTGATTTATCTGCTATTTTGTACTTGTGCAAGAAAAAATTACCTGAGCGGATAGGATGAGGTGGGTTGCACTTGGGCGTTTGGTTGAAGAGCTCGAGGTCCTCACGGAGCCACGGAGGCCTCTCCACGGAGCACGGGCCCTTGGAAGCTGTCCCAACTGCAGAGGTAACCGGGCTGTTAGTTAGTCTAGAGCTGTGTTGGTTTGAAATAGCTTGTGCTGATGGCGAACTGCGTGGAGGTGTGATGGCTTGGGCTTCCTTGCGGGTGGAGAGCAGAGCATGTAAGCACTAATTTGCCATGTGCCACTATTAGCATCTCTTTACTGCTCCTGTTGCACAAGTAGCCAGACACGACCCTGATCAAAGTGAATGTCCATCTCGGCTAGGCCGTGCCTAAAACTCTGATGTGAAGGGTACAGCCAGCATTACCAATAGCCCAAAAGTGTCAACTGGACCTTTAGATTCAGTGCAAAGCCCTTAAATTTTAGAATATATTTTCAACTCTAATAGTGAACTAGCAGAATACTGTGCTAGCATGCTTGTAGTTACAGCCTGAATGCTTAATTTTAATGCTGCATTTACTTTCTTTCTGGATTGATCAGGCTGCTGATTGTATATTCATATTTGAACATGTTTGGTCTGTTAGAACATGAATTAGTGCCTACCACGCATTGTCCTCCCCTGTGATTTATGGTACTCTGTATGCCGTTGTCAAATACTGAGCAGTAGATTTCCATTCTTTCTTTTTGGAAAAGATTCCTTATCTAATAACGCAAAATCTCTGACATTTTTAGTTATTAGAAGTTTTGAAATGCCTGTTTCCTGCCTGTTAGTTTATGAAGTATTTGTGCAAAAAGGAATTGCCATCTACTTATTTTGGGAAGTTTTACCTACCAGTGAATAAGTGGGGCGATGGGATTCAGACCACTAGTTCTGGGGCGACTCTAATAACTGTAGCACTCTGTAAATGAGTTACAGTAGATGCAGCTTTAGAATACCTTAAAAAAAAATCCTGTCATCCCAATTGCATTCTTTTTAAATACTTGGTGATAATAAAGGTTTACTTTTCCAATAAGAAACCCAGCTGGTGCTGAATGCCATGCTGTTTTTGTCTTCCCAACATATGACTAGTTGTTGCAAGCACAGTGTCAAGGTAGGTCAAACTACAGAATTCATTTTGAAAAGACACATATTTAAAAAGCGGCCCTTTTCAGAAACTGTTACTATATAGTAATAGTTATTTTTGTCTGATACTTCACTGCTAAAGATTTCAGAGGCTAGTGCTTAGAAGCCACATTTTAGAAAGGAAAGGCAAGTTTATATATCAAGAAAGGAGAACAGGAAAGATAAAATTAATTTCTCTGATGTGACAACAAACAATCTGTGTTTCCATCAACCTGTATTCTTCTGAGGCGCTTGCAGAAAAGCCAAATTTTGCTTCTCTCCAGTGAGCGTTACTGCCGCAGGCTCCCCCATGCCGCGCGGGCCGCGTGCCCGTCAGCGAGGCCGTGGATGGCTTCCTCGGGCCCGTGTAGCGCTCTCCAGCTGCGGCGCTTCCGCGAAGGCTCGGGCTGTTTGTGCAGCTGTTAAGCAGTCGTGCTTGCCTGTAAAAATAACTAAACGTGAGGAGTGTTGACTTTGAGACACCAAAAAGGAATTAAAGACTCTGCTGTGAAGGTAGAAAAATAAAATCTCTTTTTCTAGTAAATGATCATTTCTGTTTCAGTCAGCAAAAGCTGTGTTGGTGAAAATGTGTCCTGTAAATATTGCCAAACGTGTGTCACTCTGAGGGACACGGTTCTGCCTGGCAGAAGGCTGTGTCGCTGGTGTTCCTGCTGGGGGCCCAGGAGACCCTGCAGAGCATTCTGGGGAAAACCTCCTCTGGTGACTGGTGACCTCCTTGTCTTGGGACACCCAGCAAATGTCACATTGCTTTGGGTCAAAGCTTTAGCAAAGTAAGACTAGCTTAACGGTATTTTTCATACTTTTTTTTTTCTCCAAGTTGCTGAGTTTTAGTAATAAAAGTAGGAAAATGTTACTGGAAACTCAGTCTATTTGTGAGCAGGGTGAAACAATGCAGTCACCATTGGTCTTTGGGCTTTGTTTTTTTCCATTTCTCTTCGTGCTAGGTATGTGCAGAGCTAGGCGAGACGGTAGGGCACAGAGAAATGTGTGTCCTTTCTGCTGTTAAACGCTCCTGCTGTCTAGGAACTTGTTTGCCACCCTGCAGTCTTGCACTGGTGGATACACGTTTCCTGCCGACGTTT